TATACTTTAAATGTCTTACACTCGTCTCGTAATATTTTGAAAGTGACGCATTGCGAACTTCACGAGTGTATGTAAATCGGTTCCACTATTCGCCATATAGTCGAGTTTTCTACGTCAATTACCAGAAACACTGGGATATAGATTTTGCGGTACTAGTACGAGGCACGTAAACAAAAATAGAAGCAGCAGACGAAACAATAATCCACGAGGAGAGACTTACAGACCACTCGCTCTCTGCTCGCGACTAATACTTCGTAAAGCCATTGCCAGTTACGGATTGGTGTTCTTCTTAATTTTCCACGCTCGAAGCTTGTACACGCTATGGATTATGTCACAGCGAATCCACAATTTCGTTCTCTTTTTAAAATTCATCTGAAAGTAAACAATATTTAATTCAACCAATCCTTTTTACTGTAATTGAGAGATAATTATTATAGAAAAATGAAATCTTTCTGTTATCAATGTCAAAAAATATGCCAATTTTGTAGTCGACATGATTTCGTTTGATGAGTACCAGCGCATATCTTCACAGCGACTCAACCAATTTTATCTGGAAACTTTTGAGTCATTTGTGAGAAACTATACCAAACCGGCCGCTCCAGATTAACACCGAATGGTCAAAAAAACTGATGACCATCTTTGAAGTGCTACATGTTCTCCAAAATAACGATTACTGAAATGGACACACGTTAGCGTTAAGAATAATGGATACGCAAAACGATATCTTCTTTCAAACTCGATGATAAATTAACAGTAATGATTACGAATTTGAAGCCTAGTCTTGAAAATTTTGCTGAACATTGACACGGAAAGAAACTACACCGCTGTGCTATCGTCTATGAATAAATACCTATGTTGAAATTTGTTGGCATGATATAAAATCGAAGGTTCTTTGATGTAACGCGCATCGGATAGTTATTCGACGTAGCCTCATGTGTGCACGACTAGCGATATAGCTAGCTGCGTGCAGTTTCATTATAAACTATTATTATTATAAATATTATGCGATAAAAATTGAATAAGCGTATAAATGGCTCAAGCGCGACTGGCAGTTCTAATCAAATGATTATTAATTTGGACGAAAGAGGCTTTGGCGAGCGCAAGCTTTAAATTTCGCTAGCTGCGCACGCGAAGCATTCGACCTGGTTCTCTTTGAGCTTTGTTGGGGGGTGTGCTCGCGAGAAAGCAAGGGTAAATTACGATATTTGCTTCGATCCCCCTCTCTCGGTCGCGTGCGCGTGTGCGGTAGCGTACACGCGTACGAACGCACCAGAGGCCGGGTAATGAAATTTCCACGCGCTTGACGGCCGAGCAAGTTTCGCGAAAGAGCGGCTTCCGATACAACGCGAGAAATCCCAAGTATCCCTAGCACGGCGATGCAGTGTACAGTCTGAGCTTGCTTGCCATTGCCTGCACGCACACAGGCTTTCCCCTAATTGTTTGATTTCGATGACTTCTACTAGGCGCCGGCTAATTAGTTACGTTACGGCCGGCGCGCGAAAGCCTTCGACCTGAAAACCGCATTCTCCCGCAACGCAAACAAACACACATATACACGTACCGCGCAGGCGGCTTTTAACCTAATCGTCTGCAGCCGCGATCGTGGCTAACAAGGAATCGATCGCTTAATTTTCGAGTGGCTGCGCGCTCTACGTCAAGTGGCCACGCTAGCTTGCTTGCCAGCGAGCCGAGCTCTCGCGAGAGAGAAATTAATCCGTCGTTCGTGGTTTTGCGCGGGCGCCTCTCGATTCGCTTATCGCCTGGAAAACCTGCCGCGCCAATGTGTTTATTGCCGTTTCGTTTTCAGCAGCTACATCGAGGTTACGTAGTCGCCACCTACCTACCGTTAACACACTCTTTGCTACCGAGAAATACCAACTTTTATTTTATTTTACCTCGAACTTGAATAATGCTAAAGCGTGAGCTAACTTTTTTCATTTGGCCGATCTGAAGAACAAATTTTATTCGACTTGTGCTTCGCGCGCTTATTCGTGAAGCTTCTATTATAATTAGCGATGTAAAATAACTTTGAATGTTCAATCCATTACCAATCCATATCTTTGCCAAGATATTTATACATTTCGATGGTATTTCTCAACCATATCTAGGGTTGATTAGCACTAACAGGTTCTCGATCACTCAACTAGTACGCCGTCGATCCAATAACATGTTAATTGATCATAGTGCAGCATAATGAATCTGAATTCGACATGTGGTGTTATGAAGCATTGTGCATTGTACGTGGTGTCGGCTGGTAGCTGTAATTAGTGGTTTTCAAAATTACTTGCGTCCTTTGTTAATCAGTTCTAGCGAAAGCAAACTATAACGACAATAAATGTCTCAATATTTTCTTGCAGCGGTGGAGTAAATGCACACGTTATATTTTGCATATTTTAGTACACGACTTCTTTTCAATATTTAAATTTATTTTTTCAATGGCTTTGGCTAGACGTAAGAAACGTCTTACTACTCATGCTGAGAAATACTCTGAAAGCCACACATATACGTATGTAGGTGAGTTGGGCAGGAACTAGAAATTGAAAATTTGAGACTAAGGAAAACATGTGCCAACAGCGAATGGTGGGCAATAATCGAAATTCGTAATGAAAATCTATGAAAGGGCTATTCATACTTATTCTTTGTTTGATATTAACAAGTTGGCATTCGTGTATGCACGCACTTATAATAAGAATTCTGACGAGAAAAATGACTGCAAGATCGCATATCGTATAGTTTTGCCGTATGAAAGAATGCGCATTCGATTTTTGCCTACTAACATTGAAAATTAGTATGGCTCGCTGCTGTGACGTCAGATAAACGACGATCTTTGAAATAAACAGCCACGCTTACTCAACAATTTTGCATTCTTATCATTTCTTTAACCACTAATGCAAACTACAAGTGATTTGACAAACATACCAGATTATCGGTCTCTTTGCCAAAAGTACGTCTGTTAAAACAGACTTAACAAGTAAAAGAGAGAGATTTCAATGGATAAGGAGTTGGAGAGAAAGAAGAAAACTGCAGAAAGGTAGAAAAGAGAGTGAGAGCAGCACGTGAGCCAGTGAGGATGGTTGAACAGGGGAGGGGGATTGAAATACCGTTAATGCACTCTTCAAAACTAAAAGGCAGCGGTAGTTGCTGACGGTGGTGTAAGTAATAGATAGGTCGAGTAATTGCTTCACTTAACGAGAAACACGTTCGACCACCCCCGGCTGGCGGCGTTCGCTTGCGCGCGCCACTGGCGCATGGCGAAATATACTTCCAGTCTAGCCCAAGCTCTCTCTCTCTCTCTCTCTCTCTCTCTCTCTCTCTCTCTCTCTCTCTCTCTCTCTCTCTCTCTCTTCCCCGTGTATACTCTGCAGTTTGAGTGAGAGAACATTTGTGCTTCCATGTACGTGGCTATGTAACGATGTCCCTTTCACTGAATAATAACGGCCGCGTCATTTGTGATGTTTAAGTTTTGGACACCAAAACTTACACACTCGCGCACTGACGCACACACCCATATACGCGAGTCAATTATTTTTGTATCACTGAAAGCTTATGGTTTGAGAAAAAAAAACTTAATTACTTGGTCAATAATTATTTCTGAGGAGATAAATACTAACAGAGGGAAGGTTGAAAAGTGTCATCTTCTTTAAAGAATTGAAATAAAACTTCGTTAGTAATTTGCTTGAGTCATGGTATTATTAATAAATCAGATTTTTTATAGCTTACAATTAGTAGAGATATTTTCATGAAATTACGAAATTGAATCGCTTGAAACTATTGAATCAACTATTGTGTAAATAACAGCTGTATGTGGCGGAGGAGAAAAATTACTTATATCGCTTGGTTAATAGTTAATAGTGGAAACCATGCTATCAACTTCCTCTACTGCATAAAATGAAAGTGTTTAATGTGGTAAAAGAAATATTGGATGAATAATACGATTTTGCCCATACAAAATAATTTCAGTTCAGAGTTAATTGATGTGTTTATTCAAAATACTTTTCGAAAAAGCAGCAACTGTAAATAAAAGGAATTCCGTAGGTTCGTTAATTTTATTACATTGTTATTTAATTTTCCGCTTTTTACACTTTTACGTTATTATAAAAAAAACACAAAATAAAAAAAATATGACTCTTGACATACCGAGTTTCTTTCATCACTATGCTTCATTTGACTAAGCATAAAAAGTATTTCGTTTTGTTTCGACCATGTAAATTAAATGCAGAAATCATATTACAAATTTGTAAGTAATAAACGCTAATTCAATTACACAAATTTGCTTGCGTGTTTGCCTAAATAAAAAGGAAATGACGAAAGACTTGAAAAAATCTTAAGCTGAAAATACGATATAATATAAATATAAAAGAGAGAAACTGAGAGAAGCAGCCAGCTCTCGACTGACGAAGCGTCACCGCACGTGCATTTAATTTAAGTTGCTGAACCGTAATGCACGCGTTTCATCTACGAGGCTGCTCTGGCATTAACGAGAAAATAGCTCGTATTTTCCGGACATTAACTTTCAATAGATAACACAGTGGTCCTCGCATCAGTAGCAGCAGCAGCAGCGTTCCTTTGGTCACGCGCCGCTAATAGTCACACAAATAATCAGCCCCGAAAGATGCGCCCTTTTCCCCCGAGGTCCCTACACGAGACCATACGCCTATAGGCTGTCGTTGATTTTCGGCAAGTGAATCTTGGCACTTGTCGTGTGCCGTAGGAGGGGGGCCGTCAAAGAGCTCGAGCAGTAGAAGAAGGGGCAAAAGTGGGCGGGCGGGAGCTGCGCGCACGCAGAGTTCAGTTGGGGTGCTCTCTCTCTCTCTCTCTCTGTCCATAGTGTACGCGCTGCCGCTAGGTAGTAGTCGCGTCTCGACCGACGTGCGCGCGCGAGAGAGAAAGATAGCATCCTCCGCAAAGCTTGCTGCCGGAGCTTGCTATCGAAAATCCCACTCAGTCTGGCGCGTACGCTCAAACGGCCCGTATGCTACATCCTTCGGGCTGACTGTTTCTTATATGCCGCATCTGTTTATAATCTAACCTCGTTTTTCACGAGTATCTTTGGACCCGAAGAACGACACTCGGTTTTTCTTTTATGATACTTTCTTCTGTTTTCCGTTGCGCAAAGTGGAGATCAATTTTTCTTTAGATTTCGGCAATGACTTTCTCCAGTTTTTAAGCAAACATTGTTAGCATTGACGATGACAAGGCTGCGAGTAAATGCGCGTGTGACGATGAGATGAATAGTGAATGAGTGCGAGAACCGCGTATGGATGTATTTGAAACGCTGGTGACTTTGGTACCACACGACCAAGCTAATCGGCAAAGGAAGTTGTAACTTGGCTGGCAAGTACTGGCGGAAACGGTCTTGTAGTGCTACATCCGCTGCTGCTGCCGACTATTGCCGGCTTCCAGCTCACGGGACACTTCGTATTCGCCGGCAGGACTCTGACCTCCTCGCTCTCCAGCCCCAGATAACCGTATGTACAACCGCACTATCTGTACTTCATTTTTAAATCACTAGAGTCAGTTCGACGGTTCTGTATCAATATTCTATATTATTAGTGCAAATTTTATGAAATACTAATAATCCTTTTATGCTTTTGTGTTCAGTCTAAACATACCGAATATTGATTTCATTCCATGTATTTTTGAAATAAATTTACATTATTCATCGTGTGCATGAAAATGTTAGTTGGTTTTTTCAATAGATTATATTGATTATTACGTTTGCAGTAAAAGATTGATCGCGAACAAATGTTCGGTTCACTGATTAATTTTCGGCATGCATTTCCTTTTATTTCATGAAACTATTCAATCAATAACTAATAATCTTTGTATCTTGATGTTCTAACGGAAAACTAATTTTTACTTATTCATTATTATCGAAAGAATACTTCTTACGGTTATCGGATATTAGAACTAGTATTTGAGTTGTCGAGTCCATAGTTTTGAAAGTTCATAATAGTTTCCTTGTTATTTTTCGAAATAAATGCTGTCAAGATTTTATAATATATCGGACTTCAATTTAACATTCAATATCCCACATTAATTACAATCAATTCTGCACATTTTTAAAATTTCTAAAATAATTTTTGTCAAAGAATGGCCAAGTTTATTTTTAATTTGGCTCGAATATTTTTTTATTTTGAGATGCGAATCTATTATATAAAAACACTTTTTCCGGAGAAGTAACTTATATTGTAATCATACGTACAGCTGTAAATAGATTTCATTCTGGGATTATCCACTTTATTACCGAAATAGCAGTCATTTGTAAATTGAAAGACTTGTAAATATTAACCGAAAGGTGTGCATAAAGTAGATAAACGGTATTACTGTTCCATTAATCATTCCAATTTTCATGCGACTTTCATATAATCTCTCGCACTACTTCAACTCAATAAAAGAGACTCGGTTTTTTATTCATTTCAGCTTATAAAAAATGTAGATCGAACAGATTGATAAACTATTTGGTCCTACCGTAATCAAATTCACATGATTGTGAGAATATGTTTGATTTGAATAACGTTTATTGTATAATTGTTACATAAATGTAATTATTGTAAATGCTTCATGAGGTGGTTTATCTATAACGTTTCGATTGCCATTAAGATATCAAGTTAAACACCTCTAAAAACGAATTGAAGACAATTGGTCTCTAATTATTCATTAACGAGTCACAAAATTGTATTCTCCTTTACGGCATGCTAATTTTCTTTATTTAACTTTTTTTATAGATGTAGAATACTAAACAAATCAGTGCTAATCTTCATTAGAGGATCCAAACTCTTAGAAGATTATTTAACAATGAAATGAGTGTAGGCCACTATCTGTTTCAATAAAAGTCACTGGAACCAAAGATTTTCAATTTGGCCACGTGCAATTCCCAAATTGAAGTAGCTTTAGCAGCAGCGCGGGCCCCTGTTCGTCGGGTGTATTGTCCCGCGAAGCACACTTATCTCCGCTCATAAATAAGAGTACACGACGCAGTAAGTGTTAGACGCTCGCAATTTAAGGAAAGTCGGCTTTTGTGCCCACCGCAGTCTTATCATCTAGAGCGAAACTTATTTTGTGTATCCAAGCTACTCAGACTCATTCACCAACGAGGGCGGTGTCGTCGGCGCTGTCTCTTTCTTCTCGTAACTTTCCTCGTTAAGAAATCCCCTGAATAAAAGTAACTTTGGCTAGACGTGCTGGACCCGGCCATATCTCAATATAAAAGCTCCACGGACAGGTATCGATGTCTCGAACATTATATCCAGCTACTATCAAATATCTGCCAAGGCGTTTTTGACCTCACTAAATAGCGAGCGAAGATTCGTTTGTCATTTTGCCTCTTAAGACTATCTAATTAAAAGTTTTAGCGTCAAATAAAGAGGCGACGTTGTGAGTGACGGGACGCGACATTGATAAAACTTGGCACATGCTAGGTAGGCGGACGATACCAATCACAATCCAAACATAAATTTCACTAGAATAATGCTTCTACGCACACTACGTGCAAACCACGTGGTCCATGTTCTCGGCGCCGCGCGCAAAGACGGATAAATTGAAGGACGTGAACCAATTACGCCTCTCCAACTGAAACTCCGTCGTGGGATTTTCATAGCTTCGTAAGAGCCCCAAAATTACTCGTAATCCCGTACCTCCTTGAACACCTATTTGTATCGACTAGTAAAACTAAGATGATGGCACTAACATGATAGTTTGACTTTTTTCGCTTGCACTTACGACAGCATTTCATGTACGAGTCGTTTACGGGCAGATAACGACGGTGTAACTTTCGAAATTTCATCGGACGAAAGTTTCGAACACTCCGTAGCAGGAAATGAAAAAGAGCTTCCCTCAAGCTATGCGCCAGTAAATATTAAATTTGAATATTCGAATTTACGTTGGCCAGAAAAAGTTATAATTTTAAATAACTCAAGTAGATGTTTGCAACGTAAATCATAAGAAATTTACATTTTGATACATTTATTTCACTAGAAATTTTTTTTATTTTTCAATGAATGTTAGTCAAATACTGTTTCGATAAAAGATGAGTTTTTTACTTTCTATTTATTTTAAAAAGTAACTACATGTAATCGACAAGTATTGAGTTATCGATAACATTCTAGACATCGATAATAGCAAACGCTTGCATGTCAACGAGATTTGACTGAGTAGTAGAATCGACGGAGCATTGCAAATGCACAGTCTGTTGGAATGGGACTACTGGATAATGCAATTCTCTAGATGCAGGAAATATGTAATATTACGAGTTCTCCCAGGTCACCTCTATCCCAAATACATGAGCTCATTCCAAGGCATTTAGTTATACTATCGAAGCATTGCAGATATTGAACAAACTACTCTTTTTATATATAAATAAATATTTATGATTTAGTGTAAATGTTTGACAATATTTTGATCTGCAATCAGAATAAAATTGCAAAAGTATATCCGTTTTATTTCAGTCTTATTCTTTATTTTTCAATTACATAAAGAATAATATATGAATGAATAAATAAATGTCAAAAACATATTGGGTTATGTAATTTAAAAATAATATATTTTTAAATTAGATAGTTCAATAGGTTGATGCATTAGTCCGATAATTTTGTGAGGTCCTTGTTCAGGTCAAAGAACTCCAGAAATATTTTAAAGTATAAAAAACGTAGCAATTCCTTACCGTGATTTAAGAAAAAAGATAAATTTTGACCCAAAATACATTAATATGTATTGTCAACAGTCAAAATTATTCACCTAATTTTATCATAAACATGTTTTTCAGTAGAAATACTTACATTTTTTTTCTTCCAATGCAGTAATAATTGTCAAATATTTTTTCGAAATTGTCGGCTGAATTTGAATTTTGTTTAGTCTTACCACTTTTAAGGTGTAATTTTCTTTAACTATTGTGTTCAGTAGATTTTCTAGCGGTTTGATATTTTCTAGATTGTAAACGAAGATCGGAGGGGATTTGCTTTTCAACTTATTTGCTTTGTTGTTTTCTTCTTCACTATGATTTTCTTGATTTTTTTTATTTTCTTGAAATATTTTGTACCTGTTGCTTGCATTACTTAGCCAGTAATCTAATAATTGTGCTTGTCGTTTTTTGTTTTGAGTTTGGTTTTCTGGGCTGTTTCTTTGTCTTTTACCAGTTACGATTTTCTAGTTTTCGTTTTTTTTATTAGGAGTGCTCTTGTCATCTCCTGATTGAGAAGCCATTCCGCCGTTGTTTTTTTTTGTGAACTTTATTAAATAAAATTTTGAATTTAATTGTCACTTCACTAATTGGCTAATACTTTAGCTTTTCGAGTAAAAAGCAGCGTTGGCACGTCTGTACACCTCAGTGATCAAACGCTAAACGCGCAAATAAATTAACATAATTATTTCAATCATACTGTAAAACAAGGACATTATATTCATTGGAGAATACTGCTGTTTATTATATATGTATGTCTAATAGCAACAAGTAACAACATTTGCTTATTGTCTCAATACCTGAGATAGATTATAAATAAATTTGGAGTAAAAAAAAACAAAAAACTTACATTTGTGCCTTGAAACACGTCATTACTATTATAATACTTCAAGGTAATAATAGGGATAAAATTACTAGTAAAAATATTACTCTCCGTAAAAGCCATAAATAAAAGTATGTCTTGTATACCGAATTTTTTAATGAAATTTGCAAAGTATTTTTGAGTCTGAATTTTACGATTATAATGGAAAGTGTTTATTACAATAAGATGAGGCGGCATAGATTTTCGAACTGGTCGTTCGCAAGTACGCTTGTGGTACGTATGATATTGGATAGCCTACCTTTATTATTTTATCCCAATATAAATATGGCTTACTGCAGTGTTGCCGTTACAAATTCTGTAACTGATATTCGTTAATTTATTTTAACAGGTGATACTTTGTAAAAACATATGCATAATTACAAATATTGATATGGCTAAACATGCATTAAAAAATCAAATATCCCATTTCTGAATCCTAAACGAAAGGTTACCGTATGTCAAATTGGCGCATTTAATTAAAATCGCATTTGTAGTACAACTGGTGCGAATGTTAAATAAAATCTTTGGACTGCAAATTGTTTGCGTTCTCGCGTATGCACATGCGAGGGAGTGAAGAAAATGTACAGCACTTCTCGATGAAAGCTCGTATCGTTGAAAGCTTTCATTGAGCATTCATTAAAATCAATTTGATTAAACAATCAAACACAACAGTGACGATTTTTCATGCTGGATATATCTGTTTTGACTCGCCAACTGTGCCACACATTCGTTAGTGATATAGTGATATAAGTTATATTAAAACTCGATGAGAGAGAGAGTGAGAGAGAGAAAGATACCGAGCGAAAATAAAATACACCGCAGGCGCTTTTTGAAATCAAATCCGTTTTATGCTCCGTTTAATCAAGGATGGCAGTAGTTTTTGATTTAAAGAACGCGCCAATTTGTAAATCGCCTCATAAATTTCGCGCGCGCGTTCTGCTTTCTATCTTCATTTTTCTATATTTGTTGAACTCTTTGCTATAGTTTGTTTCGCCCAGCTTGAAAGGAAAAACAGGCAAAAGTCAGATGAATTCCACCGCAGGCAATTTGTCCGATTGCGTTAAAACAGCGTTCGGAATCGAAGCTGCGATCTACGCGAAACAGCAAAAAAGCTAGGGAGAGAGAGAGAGAGAGAGAGAGAGAGAGAGAGAGAGCGAGATCGAGTGAGAACCGAAGCGTACGTGTAGTTCTCTCACTCTCTCTGGATGACTAGTAGTAATTGTTATGGGTTGCTCGCGCTTTGGGGAAAAGGGGAAGTGAGGGGGTCAGTTTTGTAATCCCGGAAGTTGGCTCGGCGCCTATTAATTGGCCCGTGGAGAGGGAGAGAGAGAGAGAGAGAGAGAGAGAGAGAGAGAGAGAGAGAGAGAGAGAGAGAGAGGCAGACAGTCAGAGAGGGAGGGAGGGAAGGAGGGTGGAAGAAGGACGCATACACACATACCAAACACTCGTGCATATGTGCATGCCCTGACGGCCCGCCGTCGCCACTGGTCGTCGTGTCGTTGTTGTTTCGCACCGCTATCGTCCCGTTTCTCACTGAACGCCCAAACGCGCCAGTGAGCTTTTTTATACGCCGTTGCTTTGCTAGTACTTGTGCGTTTTTGAAACGGACAAAATATGAGTGTCGACACTTTTGCTGAGCGATAAAGTACAATTGAAAAAAAAATAGACTGGCTCAAGATACGCCAATGACATATGCATGTGTGCGCTTCTGTGTTATATTTTATAATTCAAATATTGTAAATGAAAGTTTGATGACAATGAAAATGTACTTTGTATGAAATAGATGTAAGTAGAATGAATTTAATATGGTCAGACATAACTTTCAAGTTCATTAATGAATCTTTCTAAATCTAACTACTTTATTTCTATTTTATTAGAAAAGGAATAAATGATAAAAAATAAGTTAGTATATCAATTTTTTGTTTATCGAATTCTTTAAATTTTCAATAAAAAAAGTTTTGTAACAAAGCTGCCTTTATGCCATTTTGAAAAACTTCCAAGTACAAACTCAAGTATTAGAAATTTCTAAAGAAGTCTCAATGAAATTTTTTTCTAAGAGAATAGTATAAACAAAGAAGATTGTTTCATATTCAATGAAAAAAGTCCAATAGCAAAATATAGAGCAGGACTAGATGCTTTCACAACATAGAAAAATGTTATAGCGATCTTAACTATTGTTTACAGTATCCATAGAATGTGAAAAAAATCGACGAGAAATTATCAAATGAATGAAGTCTACTTTGACGTAGTTACAGTTCATCAGAGAGAGAGAGAGAGAGAGAGAGAGAGAGAGAGAGAGAGAGAGAGAGAGAGAGAGAGAGAGAGAGAGAGAGAGACAAAGAGGCAGAGAGAGAGAGACGGACGGGACCCGGTAAAATGAAATGAAAACTGGAGCCGAGGATTATGCGAAGGGAAAGTATAATGAATAGAAACGAATGTCACTCACAGAGGTGGACTAACTGTCTGTAACTTGATTATACTTTCGTCAGACTGGACCTTTCTCTTCGTTCTCTCTTCCGTTTTATCTCCTGAGAGAGAATTAAAACCGTAAGAGGGATAGAGCATACAGTCTTTGAATTACTCGCCAAAAGCCCTTTTGGTTACCTGCACTTGCCAGTTATATTTTCACTACGCATATGTAATACACGTCATCTACGCTAGTGTAGAGAACGAAAAGTTTGTGTAACGTACAAGAACCCCAAATTATTAAATTACTCGAAAAACCTACGATTCAAACGAAAAATTAAATCTAATTTAGCCAACGTAGTTTTGATGTTAGAGTGTTTTCCGCGCGAGATAAAGTTATGGCTACGCAAGAAGAGAAACCGCACTACGAGGATTATGAATCTTAATCTGATTCATGCGTGACATATCTCCGACTCTTCCCTTTTTTCTCTCTGCTAAATAGCAAGAGCTTGCAAGCTCGCACACTTAGCCGTAAGGTAGTTGGCTAGCAAAGTTGACTTTGACAATTAAAACTCCATTTTCGACATGCATTATGTGTAAATACAAGACTCACACAGAATTGCTATGGATAAATAACGTAGACCCTCCGCGGAGAGAGACTTTTGCATGTATCTTATAAAAGCAAAAACTCTCGTCTGACCGGAAGAGAAAAGCAAAAGGTGAAATTTATTTATTAAAGTTCTTTAGTTTTTTAGCTCAGTTGCGCTGGTGCAGCTATGCTACTTGCATAGCGAGTAGTCTCCGCAGAATTACTGCGTATATGCTCAAAGTTTCAGGCAAGAAAAATAAAAGATAGCTAAAGAGTCTTAACAAAGTTAAGTCCCATTTGTAAAGCTACTGCGTTATTCTTCACAATGGAAGTCCAGGGAATATATCAAAAGTCATATAACGCTGATTTTGTTCATTTAATTAATAAATTTGCATACTTGAGTCATTTCTTATAGTACAGTTGAATAACTTTAATAAATCTATTTCTAAAATAACGTGATATTCTTGTTTTACTTTCAGGTTCTTGAACGTACCAACACTTCCAGAATGGCGGAGCGACACGGACGGAGTCGTTATCTGACCCTCAGCATTTTACACATAGTCACCATAATGTGTCAAGGTAAATTTCTCAAATACTTTTAGTAATTTCTGAAAGCTGAAAAATGAATAAATATTAAAGTTATCTGTCCTCTGTATGAAATCCGCATCTTGTTAAGAAAAATTCTTCTTAAACTACTGTAAAAATGTTTTCGACACATTTCACGGTAATTTATTTGTTGACGCTTTCTGCGACGTTTGAAACATCAGAGCGTGACAAATGCAGTGTGTAAATCTTGGAGGAAGCAGTAGTATCGCTTTCCATCCAACCGATTGAAGTATACTCGAAATAGTATACTCGAAGTCAAGAATTATGCTGTGGTAATTGTGTGTAAGCTTTTAACTGCAACCTAAAAAAAGAGCCCAACGACAAGCTCTCAACGCGCAAATCCTCCAGCGTAGAAATCCGTATAGCTGGAGTAAATGACACGGACGACAGAGTGCCATGCAATTTAGAGAGAAATATATTTTACAAAGGTACTTCAGCATCTCTATGCATGTATACTTGGGACGGGTACTGAATTTCAATTTCAAATTTTCAAAAACGTATGTTCCGAGAGCCAGACACTTAAATGTGTTTCATCGTAACCGATAAAAGAAAATAGCCACTTGTAGAGGCAGTTTGAGAGGGACTGTTTTGGTAGTAGTTAAAGTCGTGATTTGACGCGGCTTGATGGGAATGGGCTTGGATTAGCTTAGAACCTAGGCAGCAACAGCGCACTTTGGCATGCCACTTTCTCTCACTCTCTCGTCATGAAGCAACGGCAGTTTCAAAGCCAACGTTGACGAGGTAATTTAAATATATATTAATATAACAGGTGTAACATTACGGCCGCGGCGTGTCCTCAGCGGTATTAATCCCTAGCTGTACGGGCGGCATAGTACGAGAGAAAGAGAGAGTATAGAGCGAAGCGCACGTGCCACGACTTCGGCCGAGGCGCTGGGTTACGCGTACAACCAATCAACGTGCGCGGCTATGCATACGAACGAGCTCAACGTCTCTCTCTCTCTCTCTCTCTCTCTCTCTCTCTCTCTCTCTCTCTCTCTCTTGCAACATGTATATACACACTCAGCCTCACCTCTTCTTGTATAACCCATTTCGAATAAATTCAAATCTCACGTCATACGTTCTCTCGTGTATGCATGCACTGCGCGGCACTCCGTTACATGCGAGAGGAGTCTCTCTTACCCCGAGACAGCGAGACGGTGTACGCGTATAACTGCGCGAGTGTGTGTGTACACTTTGAGGTCGCGAGGGAGTTTACGTTGCACACGCGTCTTCTTCGTACGTGAAAAGTCATCTGTCACTGGCAGTTTGCGCATGGAATTTCTAGCCTCCACCTTTTTTACTATCTCGAAAATTTTCGCTTTCTGCTGCATGCCAAGTTTGTAAAAGAATTTGTATTGCTTGGGTAAAATTATAAGAGGTATAAAATTTTCGATTTGTTTTATTGACACGTAAATTTTTGAATTTTGCATTTTCATAGGATATTTTTTATTGCATGAATATTTATAGACCAGGTACTACCAGAGATTTTTTTCTTTTACATTTTATGATACCACAAAGGTGTACACTGACAAATATTAAATAGCGAAACGCTACTAGAATACTGTACAAATATTGTATTTTGTTTTCAAAAGCATATGATTATTTCAAGATTGAATATTGTGATTCGGAATTATGCGGTGTTCGTAGTATTATTGTAATAAATATTTCAACAATGTAAAAAGAGTCATGCAATTATAGTATTTGTAAATGATGAATTTGATAAATTCAAAATCCATTAGTTTATTTTCAACGATGCTATGGTCAAATTTATTCATGGCGACTGTGATTTTAAATATAGACAATTCGAAACGTACGATCAGTTTATTTTCTTTTGAGGAATTCAGTTAATGTCTGCTACATTAAAAATCATTAGAAAATTGAAAAGAAATAAAAGAAATAAGGTGCCCCGACTCTTTTTATTTCTTAACATCTTTCTGTCGGCCATACTTTAAAAATATTTTCTATGCCAGCGACTTATCCTTCTTAATCGAGCAATAGCTTGTAGAAAAGTATTGTTATTCGTTCCAGCTCGCAGTCCGTCGCGTCGCGCATCTGTCTGGTTGTTTCTCGTAGCAGCAGCAGCAGCAGCAACAGGAGCAGCAACAGCAAGCTGTAACACAGAGGAGGGGGTTGCGCAGCTCTCTGGAGCGTCGGCAGCGGCGTTTCTCGCAATAATGTCAGTTTATTAGGCAATTTCGCGACGTCGAGCGTGAAACTAGGTGTGCGTTGTGTAGGACGCTTTGAGAGCGAACGAGCTGTGAAACATGCGCGCAGCGCGAGCGCTCGCCCTGCCAGCAGCGTCTGCTGCCGCCTCTTTCGCCCACTAATGCCTCTCGTTCTCTCTCTTGCTCTTTTCCTACTGCTGCTGTCGCAGAATACAACAGCCGGCATATTGCTACTGATGTCAAAACAGATGCCTTATTCAACTGGATGGCCAAGGTTTCTCTTTGCAAAGCTGCTTTCCTGTTATAATTTATACAAACGCATTGTCACACGTGAGCACTGCTCTCTAATATTCTCTTACACGTGCCTTTATTTTTAGGAGTATTCTCAACAATAAAGATGGAATTTGCATGAAATCGCCATGAGGATATTGATTTTGAACAAATTTAATTATAGCCTATCGGAAAGAGGAAAAGAATTTCCTTCGATGATATGCACTCGGATCGTATTCTCTTATTCAGTTCTATAATGGACTAATAATTTTGCATAGTATGATATATCTGCTCATATAATGTAGATTACGATAATTCGATAAAAGGAAGTGTACAAAGATATTCGTGTGCTTTCTTTCATTAAAATACGTAAATATCTTGTTCCAATTGTAGAATTACAGCAAAGTATTAAAAATGTTGTGCTCTATAATTGAATGTAAAAAAGGAAATTCAGGAGAGTGGATCACGAGAATAGAAATAAAATCTGGCGCAATGCTACGTGAAGTGTGAGCGCATTCAGGCAGGTCGCAGTGATAAAAATAATTGATACGCGTAGTCACAGAGAGTCATACACATACATATACACAAAATCGTTCAGCCTGTAATTTGTCGCGTTCCAATTTCATAAACGTACACACTCTACGTTTTATTGTAGCTGTACTGGCAATTGCTGGTAGCGTTTGATCTCCATTACCTCGATCAAATCGCGGACGTCCATTATGATAAAACGTTCCGAGCTTCTCTTCCAATATAAGAAACTAGTTGGTTAACGGGTAATCCGAATATGGTTATTACGTACGCGCGCGCCAAAAACCGACCACTTAGCAATTACCAGTGAGGTTGCGCGCCGCGTAGTACCAAAACGATTTTTCTTGAGTGCATCGGCAACACTTGGCCAAAAATCGCCTACTACTATTCCAATTATAGCCATATGTAGTATTGCTTTTCCGATAATAATGACACTTTACGTTCGATTGAAAATAGCGAATCTCTCGACTTGACGCTGAAAATGAATTCAAAAGAGTTCCCGTTGTCTCAAAAAATTGAAAATAGGTGGGAAATAATGGCTAAAGAAATTGATAGAAAAAAATCCTCCGATCCAATATTCAAAATTCATCGACATCGTTTGAAGGCGTACAGACAAGTGTCAAGGAAGATTTCGATGAGAGATCTGACGAAGTACATAGGTAAAAGGTAAGTGCAAGCTCAATGGTCTTGGTGAATCGAGCAGAGTCGCTCGTTTTTCAAACTTGAAAATTGAATCGGTCGGTGGCGGCGCTTCTTCCGCGAGAGCTTTGCTATACGATCGTGTGACGAGGACGACTCCATCAGTTTTCCGGCACCGGCGAGGAGAAAAGCCGTCGGTTTTCTCTACAACGTTCGATGGCCAGCAGCTAGCAGCAGAAGCTTGCAAGAATTCCCACTTGGCTATGTCGCGGCTCGCCTCCCACTATTTTCCGGATCGTCGCCTCGTTTGAACGTCTCCTATAAAGTGTTTTACGCGAGGACGACGTAGATGCGCGCCAACAGCTATCGAATAAAAGAACCCGTATATAACGGGCCACATCGCTCGAGCCTTTTGCTCGCGTGTACGCATACGCAGCGTTTGATATATGTGCTGCCACCGCGAGTTCTAGCACATTATAACGTTTGTGCATTATTTGCAAATTGATTTACGAGTTGCTATCATCGTTCGCGCAAACTATACTGCTGCTGTTTATTTTGTCGTTTGTATTGGATTCACAGGCTTATTCTCTCTTCCTCTCTCTCTTCTTTTTTTAAACATGTGTTTTTCGCGCTCGGCAATAGAAACTGGAACTTCCATGCGCGCCGACTGCAGATTTTCTGCAAATATATAAATGGCTGATCACGCGAGATATGATAGGTGTAAGCCTTTTCATCTGCTGTATTTGCAGTGATTTTTCTTTATGTGTTCATATGTTTTTACGTTGCTCTTTCATCGCGACTTAACGTACCTATCTGCTGTTATAACTATTCAATTTTCAATGTATTTACTACTTTGTTGAAATATTTACTATATTTTCTATTCGTATATATTCCATTTTGGTGGTTGTAAAGCTTTATATTCTCGGACAATTCAATTATGCCAGCGAAATATTCATACATAATTTAAATCATTGATCCAGATGTAGGGAAAATTAAATTTTGCATGCTCTGCGGTCAAACAAATGACTAATTAACGTATGGCAAAACCAGACAAATAAGGTATTACGACATCAATAACCTACTGGCGTATTAGCTACATTCATCAATTACAGCAATATTGCACATACATCTGAATAATGCGTCTTTGCACATCGATTCGTCAATGTTCAATAATTGAGACTAAACGCAATACAACAAGATCAGCTGGTTACATATCTATTTTCTTCGTTTAATCATTAAAAAACTTTATAATAATAATAATAATAATTTTAATAATAATAGTAATAATCATAATAATAATAATCGTGACCAAAATTTTTACTCGACAAAGCGCTCATTTCTCATTCATCCCTTTCGCTCGCGCAAGCGTGG